GCTAGATTTCTTATTTTATTAACAACTTATGTATCTAATTAATTAGCAATACGGTAAGAATATTTAAGCTAAACTCATAGATATTTTGTTCTTTATAGACATATTGAGTAATAACATAACATTATGACCTACATAATAATATTATAAGTAGATACAATACTTAACAACTCGGGAAGTTGAAGTTTGTTGAAGTAATGAGATAATTATTTAGTTTTTAAATCATGAGCATAGATGAATTTATGCGAAAAAAGGTAAAATAGACATTGCAGAAAATACTTGATGGCCTTCCGGGGTCCCGGAGAATAAAATGCGCAATGTTATAGCTATTCTATATAAAATTTTGTTAAATAATAATATATAAATGGGTAAGTACCTACATTGTACACAATTTTTTTTATTTTTAAATTAAATATCTGACACAGAAATAATACATTTGTATTATTTTATTAATAGTACCATTCTGTGTAAGAATGGGCAATTTTTCAAATAAATACTTAAAATTTTATAAGTACCGAGTAAAAATTCATACGTAATTACTCGAATATTCAAAAAATTGGATTAATAGCAGTATATTTACTCAGTATTTATTCATTTCTCAATATTATTTTTTCGGGTAAATAGTTGACTCATATAATTATCTCAAAAACCTCATCTCTTAGAAAAACTGTCTGTCAACTGTCAGTATCAAATGTCAATGACAGATTGAAATGAATGACATTATTACATGTCGTGCTAATTGTAAACATAAACACAATCCATCTTTCTGTTGAATCTTAATTTTCAAGGCAACTTTGCTAGCATTACAATGTTCGTATACAAGCTTAGAATGATTTCTTAGGTAATTCAATTTTGTGTTGACTGAGCTGGCCGAAATCCCGTGTGTGGATAAAATATTTTCGACTAGAGGATTCAGTGGTGAGATTTTGATTCAAGAGTAAAAGTTCAAAAGAAAATAGTAAATAATATAACAAAAAAAAAATAGTAAAGGCCTGTTACTAACAAAAGTGAAAAAATGTTCTTCATTAGATAAATAAATGTAATAATATTAAGTATGTAAAAAATCATTTTTTTTTTCAGATGGAAATAAAATGCATGGATCACGGCGTGTTATAACATTTTGCCTGCTCACCACAATTCTGCCTTCGATTCTAATAGTATTACCTTTATATTTAAGGAATATTAAATATGCTGATGTTATGTACAAAATATCCGACTCGGACGTTATACAAATTCATAAAGGTCAATCATCAATATTTTGTGAGAAGCATTCATTGAAAATGAACACGACATTTAGTGCTTTTCAGATGAAAGGTACCCCTGAAATATCCAATAAGAGAAAGCATATAAGATTAAAAAAGTCAATGACATTGCTGGATGACACATTGGAATATTGGGGATTTTATTTACTAAAAGGTGCTGCAGTAGAATTAAAAGCATGTTCTCAGCACAAAGGTTCTAAAATTTTAGTTGTTAAAGGGGACAGGATATTGAATACATGTGGAATTTTAGATGGATATAATAGACAAGAAAAAGGTATCCCAAAAGTAGAACACCAAGGACTCCTCGTGACTTTAGAAAATCCAGATAAGAAAAATGAAGAAAATTATACTCGAAAACACCTAACACATAATAATGAAGAAAACAATTTAGATGGTCATGATAGTTCTCAAAGTATATTACATACTAAAGGTACAACAGAGAAAAAATCACAAATTGTTCAAGAAAGAGCAAAACGGGATATAAAAAATATACCATTGCATAATCCAAATACATTATTGGATACTGGTGTTTATCATGGAGGGAATGCTTTCAACAGTACTGTAGAACTAGAGGAACCTGTTTCTAGATTTGAAAATACATTGAATGAGTGTTTTCATGATATGATTCTAATAAATCGCTTATTTCCTTTCTCTGTGCAGTGTAACAGCACAAATTACCTAGAAAACACTACCACTCTTAAAGTTGTTCATGAAGTACTGCTTGATGGATATTATTATTACATATTCTATTCAGACAGTGGTATTAATGATATTCATGCAATTTTTGATATTTATAAGCCAACATTCCAATATGTGAATAATTCTGAATCTAAAGTCTGTGTTAATAGAACTGAATGTGAATTCAACATAGACTTCTTTAGTGATGAGTTAGTTATTGTTGAAAAACCCACTAAAGAAGGCTTGCAAAATGAAGAAAGTGACTCATCTATTCTTGTGTCAGTCTGTCATCCTCGAATGTCTATATATATTTTTTTTCCTATATCTGTCATTTTACTTATACTACTTTTTGCATTTTTATGATATTTGTTGAAAATATTGTTCCATTTAATTTTAGTCAACATGAACATTACCAGAAGTGTGATATTAATTTATTAAGTTTTATAAGTAGGTAGCTATGTAGTTGTCTAGTGATGTTAATTATTATTGAATGTTGTGAAATTATAATATTATATAAGTACCTCAAGGACTTTACTGTTACAACCATAATAAATATAAAATGAAATAAAAATAATAACTTTATTCTTTGACAGTTCTTTTAGTGTTATTCAGAAAGTGTACCTAACAAGAGTTTGTTGTAAAAGCATTTGAAATGTGTGTTATAAAAATCGATACCTACATTATTTGTGATGGACATGCACGGCACTCGAGGTTTCATTATCACGTATCAAGGTTTCGCTTAGAATAGAGCTGGGTTCATCTGACCGGAAGAGGGCAATTTCGTCACAACTTTGATCACGTTAGTGGTGACAGACTGAACCAGTTTAGCACCACCTAATTCGAATCTGAAAAACTACTTTACGAAAACTAGGTATATTCTCTCAATTTTGTATGGTAAGGCGCGTGAATTATCATCTTGTTACTAATGAGAAAAATAAAGAAAACAAATAACCTGAAGGATTTCAAGATTATCATAGTACCATGATGTGATTTTGTTCAAAAGAAGTAGTACCTATAGGTACTGACTGGGTCTGTGAAAAGATCATATAAAGCGAGACTATTATGAGCTGGTCAAATATTTTGTTATTTGGAGATGGTTTAATCGAAAAAATCGGCGATTGATTTTGGGGAATACTATAGCCAGTGAACTTGATCTCATTATTTACGCCTATTATTTTTTTATAGCAAACAGTAAATACTCACTTTGATATCTAAGTGTGTGTAAGTGTCAGTGTTCTTTTAGTGTGAATTAATTGTCAAAAGGCCAGTAGATCATAAATCGTCCCTTTTTATGCACAAACCTACCTACTTCATACGTGCTTACTTGGTACCTATTGTACATAACACTTACCTATTCCTGAATTTTGATCACGATGCTCTCTGCTGCAAGTGTGTAATTTACCCTGAAATGACTGTTGATATTTAACGAGTTCTGGCCGATAATATAAGATTATCCCTAGGCCAGTCATAATAGCGTTTTAACACCCGAATAAACTGAGTGAGTGTTCGCCAAGTGTCCTAAGCGTTTGGACACGCGAACTTACCGAAAACGAAATAATTATAAACGCAAGTTAGCGTGAACACAAACTCATTTACCTACACGTACACTTTAGATATGGCACTAATAGCACACTAGTCGAGCTCTTTGTAGGTATCCATTACTACCTAGCCTAGCTGGAGGGCGCCCTATACTACGTTAGCTCAGGCGTGAGGTTCAATTCCAGAATATCTACACCCAACTATTCATATTCGAATCAATTATGAGGATATGTACCAACAACAATTGCAAATTCGTTGCTAAAGCACTTGCTCGTTGCACAGCTGGATGTCTTCTCCATAAATGAAGCAACCAAGCACAACTGAGCAAAAAGTGCCGTAAACATACTTGCCAAGAACAGTAGAACCACATGAAGTAGTGCAAGGAGGAAAATGTCATCGAGAATCTGTTTTAGAAATTTCTGTTTCAGCACTTCTTAATTTTACAGGTAACTTCATGTGCTACATGACAAATCCATTCACATGTCTTTACAATACGCAGCGCCAATTCATCAAAATCTGGAATAGCGATCATAATCTTTATACTATGCACTTGTGAAATGGGTACTAAACATTGAGTCAAGACACAAAAGAGTTGTCATAAATTTATATCGTCATACATTTATCTGAATATATTTTGATCGTCACAAAGAGTTTATAAGCTAAATTAACATAATTTAAGTGTATTTGGAATAAGGTTATTTTTTTCTACTTATAAAAAGATAATATTATGTAAGCATAGGAACCTTAATTATCATTTTTGTCAAAAGTCACTAATACTTCGAACAAAATTTATTCCAAAAATATAAATAATTCGAAATGAACATAAAAACCATGTAGAAAACAATCTTTTAAAAAGTAAAATGCAAAAGCAAATGTAAATGGGAATACAGGATACAATAAGGACCTGTCAAAAGAAAGTAATGAACATATTGAGGAAATTTTGATTTATTATTTCCACATAGTTGTGTCCAAAGTGCGTTTCACAGGCTCAGTGGGTAGATCTTCTGTAAAACAAAATTTCACAATTCAATACAACGTTTTAGAGAAATTAAGGTTCCGATCGGGAATGGAGCGCTACAATTTTCAAGTATATCAATAACAATACAGTTGAGATATTTCATTATATTTATTTAGGGTATTACAAAAACAGTTACCATATTATGTACAACTGGAAAAAAGTTACAATACAGTGGGTTTTCTTCTAGAACTTTTGTGATTGAAATAGCCTCTCCAGTACCCGATGAGACCTCTATGCAAGCGGCAGAGAGGCCTGCGCGGAACGGGGGCCATCCGGCCGAGCCGGTCTTACTCCTAACTATGTATATTAAACTTATATTGATACGTCTATTATAGTATAATGTAATCATTAATTAAACTAAAACGATTATATCGGTCCGAACGAAATGAGTTCCAATGAAAAATTCGGCACAGCGGTTATTAGAAGGCTCCTTCTAATACACACACCTTATAAATATTGAAATAGAACGCAGGACACAAAGTATAAACCAGGTAAGCGCAGGCTCCTTAGATGAGGTTAGCCACATCGCTGGGCATTTCTGAGATGCTTGTGTGGTAGAACTCCTCAATATCCTTGAGTGCTCTCCTGTCCGCTTCAGTAACAAAGTTTATGGCGATTCCTTTACGACCGAAACGCCCGCCTCTTCCAATTCTGTAAAAATAAAATTGTGCAATTTAAGTATAATTTTAATTTAATATAATAAAATCTAACTAAATCTATTGACAGGTATTGAAAATGGATATCTGAGAACAATTCAAAGAAATAAGTTAAATTATTGCAAGAAGTAATCTGAACAAAAACACCTACAAACATTGGACATTGGCCAAATTTAAAATGTTAAATTATAAATAAGTAATTAATTTTTCATGATCTATTAGCACCTTTAACTATTTATGGAATTTAATACTGATCTCATTGTTTTAGATGTTTAGGGTTTTATTAAGTTGAATCTAATGAATTCGTTCAGTATCATTCTCAATAGGCAACAGGCATGTCTATGCCCCCATATGGCAAGTCATGGTGTCAATCTAACATAACACCATTCATGTTAGATTTTGCATTATGAATTGCATGTTTTTCATTATGAAGTTTGTTGACAAAGATGTAACCCTTATTATGGTTATTAACCCGTCGAGTACCGGTTTTATAGACACAATTAAAGAACAATAGGTCGCGGTCACCGGTGACCGCTTGGTGTTTGACAGTTTAAATGCCAACATGTGCCTTATGTTTAGAATTTAGTTTGTTATATACAACAGTTATAACTTTAAGTGCACTTACCGATGAATGTAATTTTCGCGGTTGGTAGGCAGATCATAATTAATTACGCAAGAGACTTGCTGAACATCAATACCACGGGCAAGTAAATCAGTTGTGATCAAGACACGAGAAGATCCTGTACGGAACTGACGCATAATGACTTCGCGCTCGCGTTGGTCCATATCACCGTGCATAGCAGACACGGTGAAATCGCGCTCATGCATGGATTCAGTTAACCAATCCACCTGAAATAAAAATCGCAATTATAAGATATTTGCTGAAATTAAACATTTAATACAATCGGTAAATAGAAAAATAAAACAAATATAATAATGTTCTAGACTGACAGATTGCATTTTTAAAAGAATTGATTGTAGTTGTAAACAAATACAATAAAACTACAAAGTAATTGTGTAGTTTATAATTGTATGTAGAATGCAATAGAAAAGCATGTGATGTTTCTAAAACATATTAATTTAAATGAAATTTACCTTGCGACGGGTGTTGCAGAAAATTACAGCTTGAGCGATCGAAAGTGTATCATACAAATCGCAAAGTGTTTCCAATTTCCACTCTTCCAGTTCAATGGAAATATAGAATTGTTTAATACCCTCCAGGGTAAGCTATAAAAATACAAAGAATATAACATTAGTCTTTACATTTTTTGACCTAGTTTGTACAACAATATCTTATTTAAAATAATATAAAACATGTCATGTCACTGCTAAATAAAACATTGCAATATGATGGTTCCAACATACCTCCTCCTTTTGCACAAGAATGCGCACTGGATCTCTCATAAAGCAACGGGATACTTCAAGCACATCATCTGGCATTGTGGCAGACAGCAAGATGACTTGCACATCAGCTGACAACATCTTGAAGACATCGTGAATTTGATCTTTAAATCTGGAACATGAACAGAGTAGTTATTGATTATATTATTATGGCAGTGCCTAGTAATATAGAAATTGTAGAGGCCATTGGGTGAATACAACTGGTTGGTGCACCCGCCTTGAGCAAGTAAAGGTGCTCATTTCTCAATCACAGGGCGGGTTTGAAAGTCTGCCTTGAGCAAGCATGTTTTATATATCCATGGTAATTTTTGTTAACGCTTTTTGTGTGAAATTAGGCTTTTTCTAACCAGAGAGACAGTTGTAAGCCGGTGACCATGATGATGATTATAGTATTGTGGTAGCCCATAGTTAAGGTGCTCATTTTTCAAGCACAAGGCAGGTCTGACAATCTGCCTTGAGCAAACATGGTAATTTTTTGGTTCTTCACGTGAAAAGAGGCCTTTTCTGAGCAGAGGAACAGATGTTGATAATGACAACAGTATTAATGGTAGCACAAAAGTTAGTCATTAAGTTATAAGTTGATGATGATGATAATGCACATATTACTAATTGCCACTATGCATAATTTGTTAATTAGACAAATTGTTTTTATTTACATGATTACTAGTAACAATATTAAAGCATGGTAAAATGTCTTAGCTATATCTATCATTTTCTAGTCTATTAATTCACTCTGTAAAGGTAAAGTTTGTTTAGAAATAACAAGCAATGTGAAATATTATTGCTACTTGTTTTTATGTTTTGAGTAAATAGAACAATGAGTTGACTCACCCTCTTGACAACATTTCATCAGCTTCATCAAGTACAAACAGCTTGATAGTGTTAGCACGTAGAGCACGACGAGTTATCATGTCGTACACGCGACCAGGTGTACCCACCACCACATGTACACCACTCTCCAGCTGACGAACGTCTTCGCGAACATTGGTGCCTCCAATGCAAGCATGGCATTTAGCATTCAAGTGATCCCCTAGAGCAATCACCACCTAAAAATAACACACTGTCAATTCTAGCATCCATTTTGTAAACATTAATTGTTAGCATTGTTACTAATCACTAAACAACCAAAATAAAACACCACATTTCGTACCTTTTGGATCTGCTGAGCCAGCTCTCTAGTAGGGGCCAAAATTAGTGCTTGGCATTCACGAATACTAGTATCGATTTGCTGTAGAATAGAAATAGAGAATGTTGCAGTTTTCCCAGTACCAGACTGGGCTTGAGCTATGACATCACGGCCCTGAATGCAAGGCATAATAGCGCGTTGCTGGATAGCGGACGGCTTTTCGAAACCGTAAGCATAAATTCCTCTCAACAGTTCTTCCTTCAGATTCATGTCGTCAAAGCTTTCCACGACCTGGTGCCAATTTGTATCAAGTGCCCCTTGGGGTTCCATTCCTGGAGGCCCATCATAATTGCCTTGATCCTTAGACGGCCCGTTTTTGGAATCCTCCGGCCAATCTTCTGATCTGAGAAACATGATATATAATATTGTAAATAAATGTGTCTATGAATGATGAGTAACTTAACCTTTTTGGAATGAATATGCAAAATGTGTGAAAATTGCAGTATTATAGTAGTGCTTCTGTCAAACTGGCATTTCATTATAATGATATGCCGTTAATAATAAAAAGTAACACTACAAAACCAGTACAAAATATATGTTACTACGAGCATTTAATATATAAGAGTAAAGAAAAGCAGATACTACAATAAAAAACACGTGCGCTGAATCAGACTTACAATAAAGTACTACTACCAGCGCCATGTTGGCAATCGGCGACAGGGACATGGGAATTATTTCACAAGTTACAGCACATTACATAAATTTACTAAGTTACAATTAAATCTTAACATATTACTTTCAGTTACAACATATAATCTTTTGTAAATAGGGCTTAATTACTTCAAGAACTCCACTTACCTTCTTTCTGGTGAATACGACATGTTACAATCGCGGTTGCTGAACGGAAAAGAACTAGCAAAGCATAAGCAAGGTCAAGTTAAGTTAACAGAAGCTTTTTTTATAGGTTTTTTGAAACTGGTCAATTTAGTATACAAAATGTATGACAATAATTTTAAAATATTTTTTTAAGATTTATAAAATTCTTAAATCTTTATAAACGTGCGCGAATATTCCAAGACGGATAATACTAAAATAGTGAGGAATGAAATACCGGAATTACGTCACGATAGTTTATGGAATAAATAGAGCTCCTCTATAGTCTATACATGAATTGTGTCGATGTATCGATTATTGTCTATTACCAAGTCCATTTTTTAAAATGTATTATTTACTTATTAAATATTTTCAGATTATTATTACTTTAAAACACTGTAGAAAATGTTATTTTATTATTTTAACGTAAGATACGTTTTGTAAAGAATTCTTTCAACATCTTTACGATTTCACTTTACATACTATAAAGTGTACTATTCACCGTCCGATATTGTGGATTTGTAGAACGTAACTAAACAGGTTGATGTTATAAAAAACGGATTATCTAGGCTTCGTCTGGTAGGATTACGATACAGTTTCCCTAAATTCCTACGAGAACAGAAAACACGGGAAATATTATTTGTGAGTACAAATATGGTACAAAAGGGTAGAAGTTAGTCATTAATTAATATAACAAATTATAAGAATGTTTGATATTGTTGGATACAGACCTACAGACAATTTAAACAATCAAGGTCGTATACTTTTATTTTATTCAGGATATGTTTAATTTCGACAAAATTAAAGGACTTCGGAATTTGGCTGTCCATAAAATCTTCTTTATGTTTCTCATTGGTTCCTTAATATTTTAATAATTATTTTACTAGACAGCATGGAAAAAATATATTTCAAAATCGCACAAAATCTTTGTTTCCATTTGTTAATTTTTGTCTACACTCGTAAACCACAAAAACTCTTTTCTCTATGAAAACCATAAACATATTTGAGTTTGTAAAGTTGGTCATTGAGTTCTTCCGGTTGTGTCTATGACTACGCTGCCATTTTGGAACGGCAGTGCTTTTTGTTCGTGTGAAACTGTGAAGCGCTTGCTCGTTGTGAGGAGTAGATTGTGATTTAGTCAAGTGTAGTTTTATTTTAAGTCGAACTCAATCAAAATGAGCTGGCAAGATTATGTCGATAAACAGTTAATGGCATCCAGATGTGTTACAAAAGCTGCGATTGCCGGTCACGATGGGAATGTCTGGGCCAAGTCAGAAGGCTTCGAAGTAAGTTTTCCTCAGTCAAGATTATACCTAAAGAGTCAGTGATTTTTAAATTATTTCTAATGGTGCATAAAAAAGTGTCTCAAAGTGTTATTGAGTGCAGTTCATATGTAGGTTCGACGATGACGAATTCTTTATCCGGCGAGAATGACAAGATGGCGACATGTGGTGGGAGCCTGCAATTCGTATTAGAAACGTAAATTCACTGCGTTACGAATAATTAGAACAATAAATTCAATGTAGAATTCGCCAATTTTACTATTATGTTTTTAATGAGTCTCTTGGAACGTCTTTGTGTGCGCATTTATGAGCCCTATAAGAATGCGCCGGCCGGTATTTTAATTTACATTATGTATTTCTAGTTGAATGTGTAGCTGTTAAAAGTATGTAAAACATGCTTACTCGTTTCATTATATAGCATTGTACCTTCTAATTGGAATAGTGATGCTGGTGACTAATCAATAATCATGCATATTTCACACTATACCTACTAACTAAAGTTATTTTGAAGTAGCTCAAAATTTTGGAACCAATATAACATTTTGTCTAAAATAATGCTATAATAAATAATATGCATTTATCTTTGTTATAGGAAATAATTTTGTACACTCTTGATTACTTTTACAATTCATATAGTTAGTCTTTAATTAACCAAACATGTCTAATATTATTATTTGTTCCAAAGGAGGGTTGTATATGCCGCTGTATAGGATAAAGAATAAATCTTAAAGGAAAAAACTAAGTCAGGGCAAACTTATAATTAAAACCCTGATCAATGTGATATCAAACCAATTGCAATTGTGTGGAAGTCTTCATTTTAGTTTCCATTCTATATTTGACTAAATTACAAATAAGTATTTTAAATTCCTGAGTTAAATGAAGTAATGAAACTCTTGATTTGACTAAAAAATTAATGTAGACTTCTTGATGAAAGAAACAAATTTTGAAGCGTTAGACTAGATTATTACAAAGTTATTTTTAATAATTACCTTGAATTATTACTTTTTTGGAAAATTTAATATTTTACTGTTTGTAAATCAAAATCATAAATATCTCTAATATGTTTATAAGTATATTATTTGTAACATGTTACATTATCATATGTATATGCATAATAACACAAGATAATTATCTTACTGAAAATTTTTGTCTTACAATGTTGAAGAGTTCTTTGACCTATTCTGGCTATAACATGGAGCAGTTGTGTTTTTACCAACTGCTGATATTTCACTTAGTATATTAAATTGTATATTAAATATACCCAAGTTTAGTTAATTTTAGACAGCAATAATACACCTAGTTTTTTGGAGTACAATGTGGTCCTCACATATTTACACCCTCAGGGACCCAAAAAAAATTTACATAACATTATTCATACTAACTATTAAACTATCTGTCTATCTGTGTCTGTATCTACCATTTATTATTCATCTGCATTAAACTTTATAATTAGATTAAATTATCAGTCATCAAATTTGTGTGTTACTTTGAACTACTGCACCGTTAGTACAAAATTATCTATAAATACTTAAGATGTGTAGGACCTGATGGGAAGTTTAGTAATATGAAATCCTTGTATCTGTATAATCTTACTAATATCAAATATTTTTTTAGGTAGGTATAATAGGTATGAGTTACTAATCAGATTGTTCCAAAAAAGGGTTTAATCACAGAATTTCTTTTGCCGTGAGTGAATTAACGAATACGCTTTTTCCATGTGAGTCACTCTCAGACGCATTAGTGTTGTTCCGTGCGGGAAACGAACGCGCAACATGGTGCGCCGCAGAAAGTTGAATCGTCAATCTTGCACTTAAATTGAAATTGTTTAAAAAACCATTGCCTAAATTTTCATTCAGTTTTTAAAATATATTTATTTTGTATATTTATAAATTATTTATTTTTGTTAACAGATATCAAAAGATGAAGTCGCTAAGATAGTGGCCGGTTTCGACAATGAATCAATGTTAACGAGCGGGGGCTTGACGATAGCGGGTACACGGTACATCTACCTCAGTGGCACAGACCGCATCATACGCGCAAAACTTGGCAAGGTCGGCGTGCACTGCATGAAGACACAGCAAGGTAAGCAATTGTCAAATGATCACACTTTTGAGATAATGTTTTATTTGTACTTTCCTGTATTAGGAATGTTTATCGATATTATGTTTTCAATGTGAATATAACTACAGTTAGCGCGTGCTTTTAGTCTCGCTATTCTTAACTAAGCACACTCAAATTGTATCTATCAGTGTCCATAACCGTCAGTGATTTCATCACTAGTATTTTTAAATTAATAGACTATACGATTTCATAAACCTACGGTATTGTGCATTGGGATCAGATTTACTAAAGTCGATGTATAAACTTCGATTTCGCTTATGCGAAATGATGAGACTTGAGTTTATTTCATGTTGTGTGTTTTCTCAGTTTACGTAAATAAACACGAAATTTTTATTTACATACTTATAAATGCGAAGCTTTTTTACCGCACGTATCTCTTACAGAGGAAAAGAAAGCACTCATGATAAGGAAGTTTTCTCTATTGGACAAAGACACTTTGGTCTATTTTTTTGAGTAAATTTTGATGTTTGTAGTACAGTCGTTAAGCTTCCTCTTGTCCTCTTTATTGTTGGACAAATTGGCACGATACAACTGAACTTGCGGAATTTCATTCACGCAAATATGATTTCTTTGCACAGTAATGTATTTCTTCTTACAAATCTGCACACTTCTGTATAACGACAAATATTACATTGTACCACAATCGCTAATAACTGTTGGGCAATAAGGGTTTTTGTTAGGAAATAATTGTCAGGAACTTTATGATTTAGCAATAAAAGAAGACGAAGAATTAAAAAAAAATATTTAAGTGCTAGTTGACGTCAAATAAGAAATAATGACTATTCTAAGCAATATGTCGTATATTATTCATCAATATTCATAAAAATAATTTTAGACATTATTTCAAAACATCTCTGGTATAGCATTTTATGTAAAAAACGTATAAATTGAAACAAGAAATAGTAGTCTAACATACTTATCACCGTATTGCCTTGTTAAACATAATGTGCTATGTTCAACTAAGTTATTCGAAATTTTAAGTGAATATTACGTACCTTCGTTGTAATCTTGCTTATGTTAACGAAAGGGAAAGTTCGTACTTAAACACCGTTACGTGGGAAAGTGAATCAAGGTGGCTGTCGTGAATACATCTGCAGCGGATAGTTTATTTCAATATTTTGTTTCAGCCGTCGTAATTTCTCTGTATGAAGAACCCATCCAACCCCAGCAAGCCGCATCCGTAGTGGAGAAGTTAGGAGACTATTTAATTACCTGTGGTTATTAGAGGTGAGTGCATAAACGCGTTTAATAAATCTTGAAAGATTAGATTTTTTTCGGTAACTCTTGAAAAACGAAATTTCTTTCTTTTACAGATCGAAGCGCGCCGTGATCTAAGAATACTATAAGATAATATTTTTTCCACAGGGAAATAAGTAACTGCATTTTGTATATTCTATAAAGTGATAAGGACCGTTCATTTGTTTTGATATTCGATAAATTATGGCGTCATCAGTGCGTGATGCGTTTAGTAACTGTGTGCAGATGCAATTACTTTGCGGATTTTGGACCCTTTTTTTACGCTCACCGCTTCCATAAAGTAATTGTATGCTGTAATGGTTTAAACATGTATTTTAAAGTTTGCTTTTATTGACCAGTAAGCAGTTTTGCAAGCAGGTCTCAAAGCATGATGTATAGAGATTTTTTTTAGGTTTCTTCTCAAGCATTCTGATACTTTATCTGGCGTGTACAATGATCTAAATTATAATTATAATCAAGGTAGACTTAAAAATATCGTCACTAGCCATCTAGACACAAATGCCCACGTACAGATGCTTGAAAAGAATTATAATAACCACGTAATGAAATTACTGTAACAACATTATACAACATATATATATATAATTATAAATAGCATTCGTGTAAGGGCTTGTTACAAATTGAAAGACACTGTAACCCAAGTATTACGATTTTAATTGAAGATCTCTAGTCCCACTGGAACCATCGTGTGAGTAATATCCGACACATGAGTGCGTGGCAAACGAGACTCGTACCGCGACGCGCCGCGGTTCGGCCTCCACGTGGCCCGCTATTACAATTTTCTGCTATGCTTTCTTTTAATTGTGCCGCATTTATAATCTTGTGTAGTGAATAATAAACATTTTGCATTCTGTTCTATTCTATCTCTTAGCTGCAGAAATAGAAGCGCTCAATTACCCTGTATCCTCAGACAAGGCTTGCAGTAAACGAAGGGTGCATATTGTTTATATTTGATATTACTACTATAGCTTTGTACATTGTTTCTGATAAGCGATGGGAACTGTGTCTATCTAATAATAAAATGATTTGTATTATAATACGTTTGTTTTTCTTCATACAAAAAATAAATGAGAGGGGCAGACGGGAGTATACAATAAAATACGAAAACATAATTGCTAATGAACATAATTTTATTTTCCTTTTGACAAAATCTACAGTATTAAAGAGTTAAGTACACTCGAATACAAGGATTGGTATAAAATGTTAAACTTGTAGCAATAATAAAATCTATCAAGTGAATTTGGTTCTTTAGAATTAACACTCGAGCAAGGTTTTTTAGTAAGGTGGAAAATAATGTTGCGAAATAGTTTAGTTTTCCTGTGAAGTAGACATGTATACAATTGATTAGTTTATTTTTCTAGAGCCTTTTTATAACATTATAGATGAAATAAAACGCGTCTGTTTTACTTGCTACATGGTTATCTACATTTCTACAATTCTATTTATATGAAAAGAAAATTCTTGTCGTGTATTAATAAAATACGTACTTATCACATCTTAAGAAATAAATTATGCGTTGATCAAAGCACGAATTATACAAACCAATACACAATGTTCGATATACCTATACATCAGAATTATTAAATAATAATACTCCGAGTTCCACAAGCCAACACTTCTTATTTACTAAGATTCCATAACCCAATCGGTTATCGAAAATGTACTATCATTACTCAAATACATACGTACTCGCACAAATTGGTTAATAATTTTAATTGATCAAAATTACATGTCACATGACGTACATATTAAACATGTTTAAAAAATATATTTGTCATGTTCGTTCAAAGACAGACCTTCTGTACCGTTTCCTCAGAAGTACCTATTATGATCCGCTACACTAATCGCTCAGAATACATTTCTTGATTGCCAATCGCCGAGGACGAGGAAATCAAAAAGGATTGTGGTCAAGTCGAAAGTCTCCCATGGTGCTTCCTCAAGGGTGCTCTAGAGAATAGTGGCGAGATTTTTTCCAGAGACTTCTGAAGAACCCTTTGCGTTGTTTCTGTCCTGGGTGCTCCTCGCCTGTTGACAAAAATAACATGTCTGTTAAACTCCAATAAGTGTTTGAGTACACCGAATACATTTAAAGCCATGGGCACGGCAACTAACGTAGGCACCCACGGAAAATTACGGGTTAAAAGTTTTATTACTGTGGAAATAAATAATTACAAGAATTAATGAAAGTTTTAATATTATAGTCTTATCTAGGCTTGGTAGCCATAATTTCTGCAATAATGGCAAGTGAATTCAAGTAGGTACCTACGTGTCTACGTTCGAATACTAAAAAACTAATACTAAAGAATTAAAAAATTGCGAGGTTTTACTATGGTGATAACAATAACTTTTACCGAAAAAAGAACCCTAGTGATCCCCCGGTCACGGAGAACCGAACGGGTACCGCGGCTCCGGCTCGACGTGCAGGAGAAGGAACGGGGCACAAGCCTATCATAATACCTAATAGATGTCATGCATACATTAGAAGTGAGGAGTTAGTTGCCTACCCTTCCAGAAAATAAAAAGCTTGGTCTTATGTACGTACGATATTGTTAATTTTAACGCTTAGGGTCGTGAACCCCGTTGGGGAAAGCGAATGTCAAGTGTACGAGCGCGCCGCAGTAGTCGGTTCGGTCCGTTGTCTCGACAAGCGGGTCGATAAGACGCGTAGGTACCTACCTACTATCTACCTACCCTTCTATTGCGGCCCGTACGGCTGTACCAGTACCGATGGAAAAAGCACATAGGTACATACCATTAAAACTGATCTATAATGTTTTTTGTCCGGTTTCAGAATCAAAATTGGTTAGCAAATTATTTAGCCATGATTAGGTTTCAGTTGCAAAATTTATTGTAAGGTATTCGCGTGAGACTGAAATCATCAAGTCTAAAAGATACGAATTAACTACGTAGGTATTTTAAAATATTATGTTTTATAAGTTTGTGATATAAATGGATTGCAATAGGAAGATAAATGTGAAGATAGATAACTATCCAATGTGGATTCCGTTAAATTTACAGCTGCTATGTTGGGTTAAAAACGTTCACTTGCTCAGGTGTTCAGAACCTAATTAGCTGCACTTTTTTACTTGACGCTCTGGATAAAGACATGAATTAATTTAAAGCTCATAAGACCGTGAACAATTACTCTCAGACACCAATAATGTAGATACTTACTTGGTATGCTTAATAATGTAAATATTTATTACAGCAAAAATTTAAAAAAATATATACGTATTAATTTATCGATGTAGTCAGAAATGTTAGTAGGGCATCCGTAAATAAACCACAGTAAGTAGGTAGTTTCCAGCACGCGTCCCAAATGCCATGCACGCTGCCTAAAATAGTCGTGGACTGAGCCACGTGAGATGCCGCAGCGACATCCGACTCCGTTGGTTGTAAGCGCAATTTGTCTTACGCACTCTAAGGGCTTGTATACGTACATTTGACAACATTTCGTAAAATAGGTCAAATTATCCGTCAGTTAGACTAACAATTACAGTTTTATATCATAGTTGAGTCCCGACAATATCTTAAATTGCAATCTCTTTCTATAGCTTTTTAATAGTTTTAACAATATTGTATAAAACTGCAATAAATAGTAACGGAAGAATAGAAGCTTTTTACAGTGCCGTACACGTACGTGTCTTTCAGTGGAGGTCCTTTTATTCATGTCCATTCGCTAGACTCCCCCCGCAAAGTTACAACTTTTAGTTATCAGTATCGGCTGTCAGTGTTTCTAAATAACTAAACACAGTATGTAGTTCCAATCAATTAGATAAAACGAAACTTGGGAGTTACCTATTTCCCTTAATTAGTTGAACAAAGATAACGCGGTAACACTACCTAAGGAAAATAAAGACGATTCTACTCTCAAGGTGACTAGAAGGTCAATATAAAACGATGCTCGTATTGATTTTGAGTTAATATTTTAATTAATCACGTATACCATTGACCTATCTGGTTTGAATGCCTAAATATTAAGGTATATCTACTAAAATATAACCAATACAGTCTGCTCGAATGGCAAAGAAATTTTAGGAACTAATCAGGTCACGAAGATCGAGCTGGAGAAGTGCGAAGGGCTGATGCGGACGTAGGGAGGCGCGCGGGGTCCAGGGGTCGTCGACACTTTGGTGAAGGGCAGCGAGGTCGGTGCGTTCGCTTTCGTAGCCGCGCGACGGGGGCCGGCAGGAGGGCGTGCGAGGGGTGGCGGTGCGGCGTGGTGGTGCCGGCGTCGACGGCTCCGCGTATTGATCGCAGCTCCGCTCGCAGCCTCCCGCACTGGATCCGCGTCACACTATATCTCTCTACTTACGATTTCCTAAATGTTTGCTGTCGTCATTTTTTTAATGTTTCGTTTCGTTTTACATTTTCATTTACGGGAGCTGATAATATTGTAGATAAAAATTTTAACGGATATTTTATTATCTTTTAATTTAAAATCTAGTTGTTTTATGAATTTATCGGAATCTGGAACTAAGCTTAATTATCTTCATAGTAATTTGAACCATTACACTATCAGAGATATTTAATTACAACTTGCAAAAACATTCGTCACTAAAAGCGTACGGGTTTCTTTCTATTAACGATTTAATGACAATACGCACATTCTATGTTTTAATACACACTAAGGCCGGGCTCACATTGGATCGATTGTGCGTTACTCTCCTTGTAGGGAACAATTTTGCTTGAAATTAATATATTTGGAAAGGAAAAATTTTAATTTGATTTAATTGACAAATATAGTACCTACATAATAAATATTATAAAAAGGTCGCTTAAAATCATTTGCTGTAGGTATGGAGGAAGTCTAGTAGTCGGCTGAACAACTAGCATAGAAATGTTAGTACTTACGTAGATAATTGTTGTTGTTTACTCTAGTGGTAGCACTAGAGTAAATGTAAATATAGAAAAGTACGAAACAATGTTTGGAAATGACATTCAGGCAATGCGCTCATATAGAAGCTTGTTCTTTTTAGTTGTAAATTAGGGTCATAATACTACGTTCAACTCATTTAGGTACATAATAGTAACTACATATTATGTATTATTTATAATATCTGTCACTTGATTACCAATTAAGGGATTTTTGAAATACAATAAGCACGTAGTATATTCGGTAGATAGGAGACTTATAGAAACACGTTATTTGTTGGTAATATTATGTAGTAACCTAGTATGATGACAGCGATAGCCCAGCTTGTAACGTAAAGCTAGGTCGTCGCTTGCCGCAGCGACCGCGGCGCCGGTTATTGTTTCTGCAATACGATCACTGTTGCTCCCGCGCATACGTCTCCGCTGCTAAAATATGCTCATAATCGAAATAAAACCAGTTATCAATGAATTTCAAGTAATATAAGCTCATAATAATAATATTTGCTATTTTCTTCCTTATAAATCTTATGCGGACGTTGAACCAAGATAAGACTGCGATGCGATGACCTCTTATCACTAGCGGACAGCTTTTATTAATTGACCTTGTTATTGAATACAAGTAAATAATAATATGTAATTTATTTATTTTCGCACATACCTTATGTTTTCAAAATATGCTTTTAGTGTAGGTAGCTGCGGTATGCACTAGTGGAGACGCTTTCGAACCATAAGCAATTTTAATGTAATAACTCGAGTGCACTAATTAACAACGAGAGGCGAACATATCCGCGGCGGCAATTTTACCGTTTGTGCAAAATGCAAAACTAATTGGAGTTAGGAACAGCGGTTCAGTTGTTGCTAACACTGGCGATATGGCTGCCGAATATACTATTGAAATTAAACATTATGACTGTTCATGTCTGTATCTGTATTTGTGGTAATATGTGGTACAGGTTAGTAGGCTAAATGATACATCTGCGTATCCACTAAGTAAATAACTTTACTTTCTCCGAGTAACAGGCTGGCTAGGCCAGTGGCTTACGCTTAAACTTGAAATTGAAACGTCGGTGAGTTGGTGAAGGCGACACACTTCGTTCAAACTGCATTAGTCATTCTTACGGTCTTATAATAATTAAGTACATTTGTGTGTAGTAAGGTAGTTGCTAAATTCGCCATATATTTTTCCAACTAAAAAATGAGAGTAGATAATCAGAGACTGGGGACCTTAACCAGTCACCACCCACAAAAATTGAATATATCAATAATAAAGTGATACGAGAAAATATCTATCTCTAGGAAATATCCTGATTCCTTAAGATAAGATTGTGAGAATAATCTTTTGACAGGTCAGGAGTTTTACGATTTACTGTTACAGTTAAAATTCAAACTGATACAATCGTGAAGTGCCGCTCATCTAGCTCTGTCACATTAAATTAGATTAGTACAGCAACTGATTTCAAATAACCAAGTAGGTACATTGTTAGCCATTGATTACAAATCAAAAGTATAGTCTACATCATAGGTCTACATAATTTACGTTTTGGTCAAACTCTTCCGGTAATAAACAGACTAATCTACGCTCCGAAGTGGAACTGATCCAACCACTATCTGTTATATAAACAGCGAAGATTCCAGTATGAATAATGACGTATCGCTGGAACAAGATTTCTTAATCATAAAGGAAATACGTAGTACTTATGACTCGTCTACATTTTATTGTCTCCCTTACTGGTACAGTGGTGACTCACAATACTTCAAATAATAGTACCCAAGTTACTTTATGTTTTTACATAACTATGTTAGTGTCAAATCGATAAATCTTATCAGTTTCACGCATTTTCATAAAGTGTACTTACGTAGGTACGCTAGCGGTATAAACTGGACATTTAATTTTTGGTTCTAGAGATGGAATGATCGATCTCTTTGCTCTAGTGCTCTGAAGGATTTATTCTTATAAATGATTGAAAAAAGTGAGCACATTAAATGTAGTCGCGGGCAGCCGCCATTACAACATGAATTATTAATCGTAGACAATGTTCATTGCAAGTTCATTGACCTTACCGCAAACTATGACATCAACTGGAAGCCAGTACGCTCTACTAAATAAATTTGAGTGCCGAAAATCAATTAGCATTTTTCTAATTTTGCTCGCTTTAGCTATTTAATGTTAGAAAGTAAAGAGAAATCAACGAACCGCTTCACAGTAGAACTATTACAATTATATAATGTGTGACTCTGTGGCAACAAACTATTGTAATCTGCCTACATAATAAAGTAATTAACTTAAAATGTGTGAGCAGAAAACTTCTCAATGCAATGTAGAACTTGTATACGATACGATATTTTTTGTAGTAGTTACAAGCTTATTATCAGTGATGATCGTTAGCGAAATACATGAGTTATTTGATATTGGTATTTTGGAATTTATGTCGTCATGTTTAGTATTGCTGGAATCGACCCAAGTTGTGATCAGCGGCTGTGGCATGTTCGTGTTAAAAATGGAAATGGATATAGGTACCCGTCCACACATATGCATTAAGTAGGTAATATACTTATATTACCTACATATCAGTAGGTACTTACCTACAGTCTGAAAATGCTTATTCTGCAATTTGATCTGGTCGTCCTGTTTTCTTGTAAATCATTACATGGAATGAAAGTATCTTAGACTAGCTCAATCTATCTTCAAACTATTCGAGTTTCTAGTTTATTGTTTTGTTATAAGTTGCACGTGTTCAAACAGAAATCGAATATAGGTAGTTAGTGGGTGGTTAACAAAAGAAAGCTGTACAATACTGCTATCTCAGTGATAATAAAAGTGCGTCGGAACATCAATTAAGGAATACCACGACACTTGACTCACCCGGTCTACTGTAATGGACGGGAGTATTCTAACCAATTAACTAATCGCTTATTCCCAGTGAAAAGGTGGTTGTCATGGCCGATGACGTCACATACTCATCGTCCTATCGATAAAAACTGACACAAAGTAGTCACGTAAACCAAACGTGAACTTGTTTACTATGACAAAAAGATAGAAAAAAGTTAAGTGGACCTGCCAACATTCCTGCAATATCTATTGACTTGCAATCGGAATTTAAGCAAGTGACTGTATTTGAAAGTATTTAGTACCTAGCTTCTGTATTGTTTCACGTATTGCTTTTACCGCGTGCTTGATGCAAGCTGCAGATGTGTTTTTAATGTAAGTAGGTACCTACGCGAGAATTTCATGTAGGACACCATCGAGAACGCTGCCTTATGTTGCGCGCAGTTCCTTGTCGGCCCGGACCGCACACATCCATTGTCACAAATACCTTTATATGTTATGTTATCACGATAACATAACATAAAGTTTATATAGCTCACAGTAGGTAAACCTAGTCTGAGTTTGTGGGTACTTATAATTACTCTAGAAGATAATTTATTTACCCTTACTAACTGTAAAAAGATTCCAAGTGCCCTATAAGAGATTTCTAAGTTACCGGACTTTGCAGTGCGTTAGTAACTAAATTATAAAGGCACTTATACTTACAAGAATTGTAATGAGTCGGTAATAGAAAAATTAACATTCGTAGTTTGAAGAAAAAAACATTGTATCTATTCTATTTAGCTAAACAGATGTGTTTGTGTAGGTAGGGTTCAAATAGGCACTGGGTTTGGCTACTATAGTATTATCATGTTTCGAAAATGTAATTCGAGTATGTAGGCAAGGGAGACGGATGTCCTTTTATCTGGCAGTGTGTCTCATTGATATGTCACGTCTGGCGACATGGTGACATTGTGTTTCAGTTTATTATCATATCAGCAGGGTGTTGCTGGGACGCTTTTATACAGCCAAGAATATCATTATTGAAATATATTTATGTAGAGTGCCTATGTAAACGACACCGAGACCGTGTTATGTTAGCAGATAGCACTATGTAATGTAAACTCTACTTATATCAAGTTCATTGTTATGTCTCGGACTAACCAAGGCGGCGATTATTATTGGCCGTTATTTGAACATAATAATCTTACTATTAGTTTTATTATCACAATTATGACTCATTCGCATTTACATTATATTAGGTATAGTGATAATAAAATCGTCATTATGTCTTCTGAATACTGATAGTCTGATATACATAAATATACTTAGGACATGGTAGGTAGGTACGTAAATAAAGTTAGAACCTATACAAGTTTTGCGAACATGTTTTTAGTCGAATATCTAAAGGAGGCTTCCAATTTCCGCAAAAATGTAGTAGTATGGGGGTGTCGCGCGAATCGCCCCTGCAGAGAGGGGTGCGCGGCGCAAGGGAGCGCGGGCGGCCGGGCGCGGTCGGAGGGGAGCCGGCGGCTGCGCGCGCCGCACGCACCCCAGCCCGGCCGTCGCGCTCCTCCCGGGCCCCTAGCCGCATATGAGGGGCGCTCCCTCTGCCTCCCCTCTCGATTCAAAGCTCGATTATTAAGCACTCATTCAAGCTTTAATACGCGATTATCACCATGGTAACTATGGACCGCGAGGCACTGAGTCTTACTCAATTGGATTTATTTCACTCAAACAGAAATGTCTATTAGGTAGGGATTGTGATTGTGAGAAATATAAGCTTTGATACTAACCGTTTGCGGAGCGGGCTGCCGGTGACGTGGCTTCCTTGTTTCGAGAATTCTCTTTCTCCTTCCCGTTGTTCCCTAGAACAAATCAAATAAACAATTTAAAAATATGTTGCTGGGTAATAAAATCTTACTGAGTCATACCACCACGGGAAAGAACGATTAGCGTTTTAAAAGTAAAATATTTGAGGTGACTAAAGATTTCGATATACTAGGAATTCCAGTTTAGACCTCGCAGACCTCGCTGAATCAGTCGATAATTTGCTACAACTACATATCTGACATACACACTAAAATGGGAAGATTTATTAACTAACACGAGAAATCTCGGAGAATTTTCTTAATCACACAAGCTTGTTGAGATACCTAGATAGAATCACACGGCTTGCTACATGAACTACTAATAGTTCAGTACTTAATGCACATCAAATTGAGGCGGTCGGTAGGACAGGTGTGCTATTATTGTTCATTGGCGATTCTAAGATTAGGTTCCAAGTCTTAATATAACTTCGACCAGTCTCCTACCGATGCTATCGATCGATGATTTATCGAATCAAGCATTGTGTGTACCTTGCTAGCACTTTACTAAACTGTATAAAGTTTTATTATATGAGATAACACAAATAGTAAAGTTACCTAAATAATTCTTGAAACATGTATCGACTATTCGAGTTGAATGACATTTAGAGCTATAAATAAAACCATGTTTTTTATTCTACAGCCTCAATGACGTAAATGAGTATTTTCAAAATACGTAACTCCTTCCTATTCAATAAATACCTATAACACCTACTGAATATAATTAAAACAAATTTATTAATTGAGACAACGATGAAGCACGGAGTATGAAACAGAAAGTGCGATAATTACTTAGGTACTTCGAAAATGGCTTTGATGCAAGTTAAAAAAAATTGCAAGGGTCCGCCATTATTATAAGCAAGCTTACAGTAAAACTGATGTAATATCAGTAGTAGTACCTACTCGATACATATTCAGGGTGTCTATACCGTAGGAGTTACTAAGAAGTTGAAACATTTCTATAGTGGTGTCACTGATAAGTGACCGATAACACGAGTCTACATTATATCAGCTTAGTGGAATTATATGACGTTTCACTTCTATCTGAAGGTTCGTAATAATCGTAATCGAAATATTATCAGTTGTTACAATATTTCCAAGCATTTGTAGGTAATTTATTGCAAGTAAGAGGAAACACGCTTAGCAAAACAATAAAATTCATATGAAATCTTTCTGTGTTCATTAAATAGTTATCACAAATTAACAGGAAAATAGATTTGTTATTGAATCACTGTTACATTTATAAATAATTTAAAATAATACAACACTGAAATACAACATAAAATATCCTGTTGTGTTTCCTCGTCACAGTGATCGATAACGCCATTGTGCAGTTTTGAAACTAATTAGTTTCAGTATAAACCGGAAATATCTGGGTGCTGATAGAGGAGTGCGGGAGTGGCCGGGTGCCGGGACCGGAGCGCGGCGCGGCGCGCATTCCCGGGAGGATCCTTTTTACCTCGGTTGCCTGTCAGACCGGTTCTATTGCGATCGTTCACCCGAGCACAGTCGCTCGCAAATTTACATTGCACGGCTTTCCTCTACAATGTAACAAATCACAAATGAATCTCATATTGTATTCCCACTTTATCGATTTTGCTTCGTCATCTCATTACTATTTCACCAGTTAAATCGACAAGTTCTCGGAACGATACTTCGGTAAGCACACAAGGTGACCGTTTGTACGGGTCAATCGATGGTGAATTGGTGACCGGTCTCTGCAAGTAGCTACTGTGTTGTTAAATCTTCCGCTGTTTTGTATAAGTAGGACGGTTGCTATTCAAAAACATTTTTATGTAAATTAAATATTATAATTATCTATACGTTTAGATTTTATTGAATAAATTATGGTATTTTAACTTTTACGGAATATCCGTATATATGTGAATAATAACTGGAAATGATTCTAACAAAATTGTGTTATTGTCAGATGTTTTTTTTTTCTAGTCTGTAACAATCCACAGATATTGTACAATCGATTTGCGATTAATAAATGAAGTTAGAGCTCAGTTGTTTGCACCGAATTCAAGTAACGATTGTTTCAAGTGGCGGACGAGCCGACCTTGGCAGTGGCGTTGACTCGTACGGCCTCAAATCGCAACTGGCCGTCGTCGTCGCGTCACAGATTCAACACATGAGCCATATTTCTTATATTCGAACACAGTCACGAATGATTATTAATCCCCATTCTTAAACCCTCAGTTTGTAACCATATAATCTGATTGGAACAGCATAAGCAGGTACCTGCCTCTGTGAACTGTTGTGTGTGCCTAAAGAGGTTCAAAGTTTGATTGAGACATCCAAGTATTTAATTTAACAAATAACGACATTTACCAAACTGCTTAACTAATTTTATTTAATAGTAAAATATAGGTAGGTACAATGCCGAATGAATTTTTCATTATAATAGTTATTGCAACAATTTAAAAGAAACATAAGTCTGGTAGATGTTATTACTTTGTTCATTGTAATGTAATGCAATCAAATGAAATACCATAGCAACCATAGTATGTAATTATGTATTTCCATATTACATGAAGGAGGGCAAGTATTTATTTCCTTCCTTATTTACAGTCTGTCACTAACAGTCCCCAGCACCTAAACTAACCCCTTAATTGTACTCTTAGGTGTCGATGTCGTTAAAGATCATCTCTTAGTTTAGGGGTTCTTTAATATTTAGGAGATTTTGGTTGGCATTAGACTGATAAATTAAGTACTTCGTGGGTTTAGCTGAAATAAAAACGGTTTTTTTTCTGTTTTTTCTTGGTAGAGATAATTGTAGAGTTAAGAATTAATTTGAAATTTAAATTGTAATGTACTCTGTATCTTATTGGGAGCATGTGTCAATCGGTGAAAAATGGCTTTCGAAAGTTTCGCGTAGGTGACTAGATAGTTGCTCGAGTTATTTAAATACGTACAGGATGTATTTGTTTTTTTTTTCAATAATTATCTATCTATTTATGATTGTTCTGTTACCATTACCATTTAATAAAAATCATTTGCTAGAGTCTGCTATTCTGCATGGTCTTACAGCCGCGATTTTAACTGTTAGTCATCCAAATTAAATCCTTTCGCATTGAGATGAAGCCAGTTTTTTCAGTGAGTAACAGTAAAACTGCAATGAGCAAGTAGTGAGGTGTGTGCACAGGTGTAGTGACTAGGCATGCGGTATGTGGGTGATGGTCGCCAGTCGGCAGCGCGCCACTGGCGACCACCGGCTGCCGACCGCCACGTCTGGACTGGAGACAAGCTAAAAATACATTAACAGCTCCTTCGATTCTTGCTATACAAAACAAAATAACAAATTCATGCCCACTATTGATTTAATTTGCTATGTTTTACAGCCGGCAGTTCTATATTACGATGTGAATGCAACCAATTGAGGTGTACAAAGTGACTGTCTTATCGGTAAGTGACTCACACCTTTTATTCTACAAAGAACTGTTTCGATTAGCATACTGGCACGTAAGTGCGCTCATTATGAGGATTATTAATAAGAAATTATTGTAACATGTCACAAAAGAGTAATCAGGGCGTAAGTCGAGCGTGGCGCCTCGCCATATTGTGTTACCACGAGCTCGCGGCCCGCGGTCGAGCGTGTGATACGAAAGGATACCAATAAGGTTAAGCTTCGTAATGTCACGCACAAACGTTTAACTTGATTAGCTATAAAGAATTATTTCGCTGCTATTTAGGCCCACAGAGGATGTTTGTGCAGATGATGCCTATTAAAATTCTGACGGAAATGAGTCAGTTCCCCTAAAAACCAACATCAACGTCCAAATACTCAAAAGTTACCACTGGAAGTTTAATTGTAGTGTATTGTTACTATTTCTGCGGTTTCTTGATGTGATATTGAAGTCTGATGTATATTGTATCAGATGATTGCTTATAGAAAGTGTTATCATTATCAGTGATAAGTGGTTTAGCTTATCATCATGCGTGTTGGCAAGCAGCCTTACCAATGTCATGTCACATAATAAAACAATGCGATCAAATTATACCCAGTATAAGAATTAAAAGTTTAGCCGTATGCTATTTATATTGAAAGCACTGTGGCACAAGGGGGACAGACCTGACACCACGTATTGATCTTTGATATTTAGTTCAACATGTGAACCATGATATTACCGACTCAGTAAATGTCTACTCGAGTGTACAGCGCCATATGGCACTGGCGGTTGTCGACGGAGTCATACCCATAAAAAGGTTTATGAAGCTTTTAGGTTAGACGCCGGCAAAGGTCGTGCATGCATCAACATGTACCCACTGAACAACGTTTCTCTTTAAGGGACTGTTTAGAGAGCTCGAGGACGAGTATTTAGAGCACATGTACCATGTGCATCAAATACTATGAGTAAATGATGAGTCTACATCACAACGAATGAATTGATAGGTAATTTTAATACTTTTACGAACCATGTTTATGACCAATACAATTTTCGAAAGAGAGCGTCTAAATTTTATTAGAACTATCGTAAAAAGTTATGGGATTTAATACTTGTATTGTGTACCGACACACTTCAAAATAAACGAGTGAGCGTGCTACACTGATGTTTATTGGTGTTTTTAATAAAGATTTATTTGCTAACTACAGACTCGACGGTCGTTTAACTTTTGCTTAAATGAATTGTGTCCAGCCCACATACAGAGTGTTCCTAGCTAGTGACGCACATGTGTAACGTTGTGGGCATTACAAATGTTTTAGTTGGAACACTTAGAGTATTGGTAAGCAAGTGGGCCTCCAAGGTGAAGGTCGCTCGTGAAGGCGTTACGTAATTGAGATTCAACAGATATTTTCCAACAGCAGCTACATGAAGTATACCACACCTCAGACGTGAGTGATGTGGATGCGTTAAACGTCGAGCTTACTCACCATAACCTCGCTCGGGACGTGTTTTATCAAGAATTCCTCATGCACTGAGTAAAATAAACTAGACATCGTTTTCCTATACGATATAAGTTACATTGTTATTAATAAAGAATTTGTCTCTCATGAC